GGAGTGAAGAGAAGAAATGAGGAGCTGATGCCAGGGGCTTAGGTGGAGAGTAAATGTTTTGAGAATAATGAGGGCAATAAATGTACAAATGTGCTTTGCACAATTGATGTCTATATGGATTGTGATAAGAGTTGTATAAGCCCCTAAGAAAATGAAAAAAACAAAAACAATGTATCTTGCCTGTAGATAAGTATCCAGATCAGAAAAAAAGGTAGATTTAGATTTAAAAACACATCCTCTGGAAGCAAAGACAAAGTACTCATTTAATGAAATATGAGATGTCATTAGTCTTTATGGGGCTATTTGAAAAGAAAGATCTGTGGATAATCCATTACAAATCCTTGGTAAGGGGAACCTATTATTTAATTAATCACACCCATAGTGTCTTTAATAATAGACAATAAGAGTTTCAAAAGGGTGAAACTATAGTCATTCAAAACACAACTTAAGGACACAACTTACGAAGAAATCTTGTTAAGAAAATCTTGAGTGATAACAGTAAGATATCAAGGTAAAGTTAGTGTATTCACTATTGAAGATTCGACTCTGTTCTAATTGTCTTCATGAATTTAAACATGGCAGCTTGATAAGGAACAAAGCACACAGAAATCTGCCATATGAAATGGAATATGCCAGCTCTGCAGAGGGAATTTAGAAATCTTTCTGCGGTATTTGCTCTAACCAGCGTGTCAGTCAGCAACAGCTATGTGTTCTCAGATGACAACAGTTCCAGTTAATTAGCTCTTGTTTATATTTTGACTATTGATAGACTTAAATTATATTCATATTGTCATGCATAACAAACACTTAGATACTCTTGCCTTTGATCTAAATTCAGCCTTGCCTGTGCTGTAGTGATATTTGAACTGTGTATCAGAATAAATGGCTTGTAATAAGGCAGGCATAAAAAATATCATGTAAACTAGATAATTAAAAATCACATGATTAATGATAGCTTGGGCTTGAAAACAAAAGACTCAATTTCAACAAGAGTTGATTTATAGAAATGCAGACATTACCTGTGGGACGGATGCGAAAAAAGCTATTGATTTCACTGCAGATTCCTCAATTCTTTTATCACATTGACTTTTGAAAGATGTGAGCACTATCGTTGCTAGTTTAATGTGTATTCCTTGTGTATAATTGTTGAATCAGAGTGAGTCCCATGATCATTCATAAGCTTTTCCTCTCTCCAACTCTCTCAGAAATGCTTATAAAAAGTAGAGGAGATGGTTTTTATAGAAGTCCGAATAACATATCACCTGTAGTAATTTAAATTGTTTCTCTGCAGTGCATTCTGACCTGTGCAACAAAGCTTCTATTGAAGAGCATTTGAGAACATTCTAGGGATATTGGAATATTTTCTCTCTGAAGCCAATCGTCTAATTCTTGACATGCTTCAGTCATAGTTTTGCTCATTCAAAGACTTCTGGGCCAGAAATAAGTATGGGCAAAGCAACCTTGAAGTAAAATTGTGGAGATGTTTGCCATTTCCACCCTCTTCCTTTCTTTTCCCCCCCAACCTCCTCATCTTTCTTAATAAAGAAACATAAAGAAATTCCAGCTGAGATGCCAGTATGCTTGGTTGGTGTCCTTGATTGGAAACAGTCTAGACATCAAGAAGCTAGCACTTGATGATTATTTACATAACTTCAATGGCTGGATATTTTCAAACACATTGCAATAACCATAACAAAAATAAAGAACAGTTTTAAAAATCTGGTTTTATTTCCATGATGCTATACTCGGAATACTAAAATAACAGCATCAAAATCAGTGTCGGTAATCAGAAAGGGTGAAGAGCCACTACTGGCACGCTTCTTCGTTCCTAAGCTTTCCACAAACCCTCCCTCCATGTAACACTCTTGATCTTCTAAGTCCAGGAGATGGTCCAGGTTGATCCATCAGCTCTCAATAGGAGACTGCCCCTGATGGAGCAGCAGCTATAAACATATTGCATATTTAGGAAAGTGTTACCATTAAAAGTATCACACCTATGTATATGTGAGTGTTGGCTTTTATAAGCAGAAGATTTAGCAATGATTGCTAGAAGACCTCATTACAGTCTTAAAAGAAATGGAAAATACACAGACTGTATTAAACACATGCGTTAATAACAAATTTTGATGTCGTTATGCTCTTACTGAATTCAGTACAAAGTCTCAGGAATGTATTTTTATCCTTGTCACATATTGTGCATTTTAATATAAAGATTAAGGAAATGGCAAATGGATTCCCCCGTAGCTGAGTTTTATACATACTTTGTCACCTTCTCACTTATCAGGTGTCCTTTACTCTTGGGTCTCAGAGTCTGACATAATCATGGGGAAACAGTATTTACATGTTTTACAGCCACATTATGATATTTTTACTTACTCCAAGCAATAACCCTTTAAATCTATCCCACTAGTGATAAGATGCTGTTATTATTCATTGAAGGTCACATTAACATATAAGTAAAATAGCTGTCTGTACAATATGGTATGGCATAGTTTCTACCCAATATGTAGTAATAAACTTGCAAATTGTCCCTGCATTAACATAATAGAAAACAATAAATACAAACATTAGGCAATCTAAGAATACCAGGAAAGTAGAAACGTCTCCGAGGATGAAAACTGTAGGCTCTTGAAACATTAAACTCAAGGTACATTCCTGCCATCAGTGGGCTCATCTGTCTTGATGGTCAGATCTGCTTCACAAACTGCCCTCTTAAAACTTCTGTCTCCTAGAGATGCTTCAATAAAATGTAGCAAGGTGCTTCTTTACATCTCACAGGATATGATGTAGACAGGATTCTTTTTGATTCTCTCAAGTTATGCTGTGTCTCACCCGACATCACTTTATAGGGCTAGGTGGCTGCTACAGATGGGTGTTCGGAGACTCCACAGGGCTTTCTCCCATTTTGATCCCTGGACAAAGGATCTGTGAACAACAACAACAACAACAACAACAACAGAAAAACAAAGATTACAAGAAAAGAAATACCCATGCCAGGGAGAACTATGTGTGTGTGTGACCAGCTGAATTATTTCCATCCAGTTAGGGGGCATGACACGGACATTAGTTCAGTCCACGTAGAAGGCTGGCCTCCCAGCGGTGAGAGCTAGGCTCCGTGTTCATACACGGTACAGTATGTTGTCCTGACAAGGCTTTGATTGTCATGTCTTGTTATGAGGCTGAGCGGGTTTCAATGGAGTTCCAGATTAAGACAGATTAGGGAGAAGGGCCTGGCGTCTAATGCTGAATAGCAGCTATGAAACATCCTATGGCTTATAATGGTCAAATCCATAATCTATTCTTGGGATTGTACAAAGCCAAAATTGTGCGTGGAGTTGCCATGAGGTTCTACAACACAAGATAGGAACTTGACTTACCCACAGGCACTTCAAACTACATATACATGTCTAAAATAAAGTCACTACACCGGCCCTTCCTTACCCCTTAATTTCAATCTTTGCTATTAGCTCCATCATCCACCTAGGCACCAAGGCTAGAAGAATAGACATCCCATAGAGTCCTGCCCTTCCCCATTCCCTACTGCCTACATCCAGTTAATCACCATAGTGCAAGAATTCAATTGTCCAGACATTTCTCTGTTCCGCCCCTTCAGCTCCACTCCACGGTATCTGCTTCATTAATGGAAGCCCTTGTCATTTTCCTGTGGTCTAGCAGCAGGCTTCTGTGCTCCTTGTCTCTCTCTCCTCTTGAACTCGCTGTCTACATGAAGCATAGAGTGCTAGATCTCAAGTACAAGTCTAATCATATTCATCTTTTGATTAAAATCCTTAACTACACTCTAGCACTAATTGGATACAGTTCAACAGTTCAGTGTCTGTTGCTTGGGGTGACAGTGTGAGTTATTAAGACATTATTTGGTAACTTGCATGCTTTGCTACTGGGTAGGGAAGAGATCAGGGAAGATATCAAACAGGAAATTCTCCACTTCTTCACAAGAAAGATAGCCAGACCTTTGGGTTATTACTTTGTGTTTACTTGTTTGCTGTGAAAGACACCAAAACTGCTTCAGAACTCATCCCCAAAGGGCGAGGGAATAAATGTCTCTGTGCTTTAAGTGGAGAACTAGTTGTGACCCAGCCTGCCAGAGTTCGATGCCGTAGTGCGATGTATGGCTGTGGTTTCCTAGCATCTGGAGAAGACGGTGTGGTGGCAGGAGGACCATTCTGCATTTGGAGACGTGCCCCTTGCTTTTTCAGAGCACTGCTGGAGGTGCTAGAACTTTGCTAGGGAATGACTGCATGGTAGCTTTGCATAAAAGAAAGTTAGACCCTGTCTGCCATGGTGTGGAGGTAATGCGATACGTTTTGTGTCACCTTGGCTGGGTCAGGATCCTTAAATAGTTTGACAATAAGGTCTTCCCCAAAAGGTGCAGGTTACAACCTGGTAATGACTCCTTGGCAGTGTGACCTATTTCTTATCTATAAATGAATGCTGTGGAGAACTCCTCTCTCTTCCTTTCCTCCTGCTGGTCTGATTCCTTGGGACTGGGGCCAACAGCCTGTGATGTGGCCTGCTGACCCTGGGAGCCATCAGCAGCCTGCCACCTTGGCGCCATGGGTCTGTGCTCTTCCCCCCTCCCCCCTCGGCTTCCTGCTTCCTGGTTGGTTGGCCTGGCAGCTGCATGAATGAGGAAGGAACTCCCATTTAGCATCTGACTCACAGACTTGAGCTGGAGGGGGGCTCGTCTGATCTCTGCTTGTATGGGCTGCTCTTTTATATGCTACATCTTCCATGACATAAAACTCTTCCATACACTACATTTATGCAGTGTCACTGGTTGGTTTCTCTAGGAAACCCAGCCTAACAGAGGTAGAAACCACAGGCTGGAGAGAGAGAGGCCTCTCCCTCCAGTCTTCGCAGAACCTCTGCAGCTTACAAATGTTCAACCAGAAGATGGCATGAAAGAAGGAAGACGAAGATGGTCAGGAGACTGTGGATTCAGCCCCTCCTTCCATTCTTGGACTAATTTCCCCTGTGCATTTACTGTATAGCTAACATCAAGGGAGCCAATAACACGAAAAAATGGCTTCTCGAAGGACTTAATGAATGATGAAGGAACTCTCTCTTACTCTTTTTAGAAAAAGAAAGGAACTGTTCTAGTGTCTTAGGGTGCTTTATTGTTTAGCATAGCAAACAATGACACCCCCCTCCCCCCGAAGTGGCGCCCTTTCACACTTCCCTTTCATCTTTCAGCCTTCCTTACATTACATTTCATCTTTTAGGCCAGTGCTTCTCAAATTGTAGTGAAGTACCAGGTGGATTTTAACATCTCCAACTGATTATTATTTTTTTTAGAAAACAATGAAACAAGTTGAAAGCCGAAGTAAGATCGGATTTATGTAATCATTTTTAACCACATGGACACCATTTCTGTGCTCATCTCTATGGACCGACCTAACATCCATTGTTCATAGCACAGCTCTGGGGTAGCCAAGCCCTGCTGATAACGTCCTTCGTCCACTTTGCGGGCTGACACGCTTTTGCTTTGCGCATGCTGCTCCTTGTGCCGTCCTCGTTCCCCCTGTTGTTGTTAGGTGCCATGGCGTCGGTGCTAACTCACAACAACATGCTGACACAGAACACCGTAGCGCCTGGCCAAGCACCGTCCCAGCCATTGTTGTTCTATTTGAGCCCACGTTTGCCGCCACTGAATCAATTGGTCTATAGGATGACCTTCCTCTTTGTATGCTGGCCCTCTACGGTACCACGCACGGTGTCCTTTTCCAGGGTGGCTATGCATCAGAACCAGCCACGTGACAACCTGTGTGGAGTTTCTGAGTTGAAAAGGACCTGGTGAAAGTGGATGTGGTCAGTGCAAGGAAAGGCAAGGTCTTTACCTTGATTTACACACTGCCCGTGCAGCAAGGGAAGGGGATTGTGATGAAGTATTTGTTGGGAGTAGGGCCCGTTCCCTCATTTCAAAGGAAAGACAGATTTTCATAATGTTAAAGGACAAGTATGATCTGCCTAAAAACGGAACCTTTGTAACTCAGGAACAGCCCGCAGTTGGTTTTAAACAAATTGACAATGACAGGTTCACTGACACCAACCATTAACTTCTCAGCATATGCAAGTCTTTAAAAATCATCAATAAGCTAAGCTGCAGCAAGCTAATGAACTAGATATCAATGAGGAGCGCCGAGAATGAAATTAGAAAACTTACATATGTATGCCCAAGAGGAGGAAGGGTTCATCAAGCTGTCAGTTCTTGGTTTTCCCTTGTGCAGAATGCTCACCTAAGAACAGAAGATACGGGTTGGTCTCCAGGCTCAGAGAGTAAATGAGGATGAAAATCAAGTTCCTTGGCTCCTTTTGTTTTTCCAGGAAAGTCCAATTTCCCTGTAAAAGTATCAATAGTGGCACAATGTCTCTCTTAGTGTCCCTTGGAAATTGTTGGCCAAGATTTATGAGCGTTTTTTACCAGCTGACGTCCATGTTTATCCAAAAGGAGCGACAGCAGCCTCCTCAGAGCGAGGACTGTGAGTGGAGAGGTGATCGTGAGAGAGACACCCTGTAGAAAGCGTTCTTGATTTTTGCCTATTACATGAGCTGGCTCTGCCATTGCAAACCTGTATTACAAATACAATTCCAATCCCTTTTCAGCTGCAAAATAGTTTTGAGTCCTTCTGTCTATGTAATTCAGGGAGTGTTTCTTGAAAATGAAACCATAGGGCAATATAAACATTGGTGACATGCAAAACAGTGCCAGGTGCATCATTGAAATTGACAGTGTTATCATACCATTCAATTTATAGATTGACCGCAGATGGTGGGGGAGCAGAGAGAACGCTGACCTAGGAGTCTGCTATATGTTCCTGGATTTCTGAACACCGCATTTCTCACCCCTTGTCTTTTAGGTAGAATCAACCTGCGCATTCCAGTTTAGCTCCCTGGCTGAGAAAGTATAATCCCAACTGTTACACAGAACCAGCAGGGAGCCCAGTTGGCTCAGTGGGTTCCCAGTTGGGCGGCTAACCAAAAGATCAGCAGTTTGAGACCATCAGTCAATTCACAGGAGAGAGATGAGGTTTCTCTTCCCACAGGGTTTCAGTCCTAGAAGCCCAGAGAAGCAGTTCTACCTTGTCCCGTAGGGTGGCTATGAGTAGGCAACCACTCACTAGCAGTGAGTTAAAGAGTACACGGAACCAGAAGCTACATCGTAACAAGAGCCCCAGGTCATGCTTAGACATGCCTGCCTAAGGATCTGTTGAGTCATTTAGATATAGCTATCTATGGATCTAACTATGTTCCCCTGAGGAGTTTGTTCAAATGTAGATTCTGAGTGGAAAGGCAGATTACCAGCATAGCGTAGAAACTCATCAACAGGTCAAGTGTCCTTGACATTAGTTACATGATAGAAAACAATAAGAGTAAAAGTCTCCACCCTTGAACACAAATGCCATCTCTTTGCTCTGGCCCATATCTCTGTCAGCACAAGGCACCTGCCTTCTGGGAACCCTGTGGATCCCACACGTTACCCACATGCTCATGGCCATAATCAGTAGTGCCAGAGGCTAAGTGGATAGGGGCCAAAGTTTAATAGTGGGGACCAGGAATGAGAGGGAGGGGAAAAGAGGACATCATGGTCCAGAAAGGATTGCGTTTCTCTTTATGTTCATGGGAATGTTGGCCGCAGATAGGACTGATGGTTGCATATCATGATGAATGTAGTTGATTTCACAAGCCTGTACATGTGAAGAGCACTAAGTTGGCCAATGTGTTAAATATACATTTAATAGTAAATTTTTAAAATGAAAAATTGAAATGTTAATTATTTGTCAGCCAAAACAAGCAAACAAAGACAAACCAAAACAGTGCCAGAGGCTTAGAGGGGGAGCGGGCCCAGACTCCTCTCCAGAGGCCCTTCAGGATCCGTGTCCCCAGGGAGGCCTGGCCCAGTGCAAGGAGCTCCCACTCCTCCAGCTCAGCCCTTTGCTCAAAACGATGTATTTTGTGAGAGGCCTCACAACACACTAGAACTTTTGGTCCTGAAGTCCTGGAGTGAGAAGTTCACAAAATAAACATCCACTGTACCCCTCATATCAACCAGAAGACATGCAAAGCCCATAGTGTCCAATGGATAGAATTCTTACTGCACCCAGTACTCACTTCACAACAACATTAGGTTCCAAAGACAAGGCTATGTGAAAATCAGTGTTACGTGAGAATGGAGGATGACCATGTCACATCACCTGTGGTGTGTTAACACTCAAAGGGATCCCTGATGAGTTACCTCCTTGTCCACTCCCCCACCCCATGTTTCCTCAGGAGCATCCAGCCTACAAGTGCCTGCTGGGAAGGACTGCTCAGTGGTCTAGAGCCAGGGTGGTCCAAATGCTGTGACCTCCCTTTCCCAGGGACCAGTCTCTCTCCTGTTCTCATCATCCTTTTAGGAGGGGTAGCCCTGGCTCATCCCTTCAGTGATTCTAAAATGCACTTTGTGGCTTTGCTCAAGGCAAGGGGCTTCCTGTCAATGGGAAGGAGGGCCCACATGCTACAGAGGGATTTGCTCACTGCTAGCTAGATCCTACCACTGGCCCCATTCTCTGCGAATTCCCCTGGTGGTTGCTGGGGGGCTCTGTCCCTCTACACTGCCTATGTGAATGAATCATTCAGAGCTTCTTCTGAGGCAGTGATGGTCAGGCCTGGCTTCTGCCCTTGACATTAAACTCCAGCTGCCATTGGGCATTCATTGGTGAACCCACTCCCACCAGAGTAACCTGCCATGCCCTCACCTATGCCCACCCAGAACAGGGCATTTAGGAAAGTACGAGCTGCTCAGGTACCTGTCAGCTGATGTGTGATCCTAAAAGCCCCAGGTACTCAGGCATCCCTTCTCAGGACTCCATCTCAACACACCTTGTACCATCCCTGTCACCCCTCAGCGCTGAGAAGCCCAGAGTTAGAGTCACTTCTTCACTGTTCCGAAGGGCAGCTCACCTTTAGGACAATGGTTTGTGCTGCTGTCCTTATATCTTCTCCATTCCCACAGTGTGGTCATTACAAAATCTGGTGTCAACTTGACAACTATTAAGAGTGAAGGGGTGGAGTTTAACCTGTCAATTAGGTCCCAGCTGGATGACCTCATTTGGAGGTATAATAGAGATAAATAGCTCGCTGGAGGCCAGATGCACTCTCCCTGTGAGACAGTCCTGTTGACAAGGCACATAGAGCTGTGCTAATGGCAGCCAGAGCCCTGAAGCTGGAGGAGCCACGGGGAGACCCATGCTAGTGCTGAGATGCTTCCACCACCACTGGATCCACAAGACTTTCCACACACTGGTCTGTGATCTTCCTGCATTCGTTGTCATTGCAAGTGTTGCGTGGGTCTGAAGCAGAATTGATGAACTAGTATCGGACATATGGGTTAATATCAGATTTATGGATTTGATCTGGACTGGGATGGAGATGTTTTCTTAATATACAATTACTCTTTATATAAAGCTCTTTCATATATACATATGAATGTCTATGAATTTGTTTCTCTAGTGAACCCAGACCAACATAATACCATTCAATATGAGTTTCCTCTCTATATACACATAAGGTGTGCAGAAAGGATGTTTCAGGGAACTCAGTGTTTGTTACTGCGAGGTGTTCATCATTATGTAGCAAATGGGTCAGAGAGGGCACTTTTACTATTGCCATAAGTGGGAAATGTCATAATGAGATCATCAATAAGGGAAGAGTAGGTGTACTCTCTTCAAGTTCATTCTAACTGAGAGTAGACAATGTGAGATATTCAATAGTAAGGTGATTATAATTGCATTTAAAAAAAATTATACCTACAGTAAAAGTAAACCTGCATGTGAATTGTGGTGCTGGCGAAGAATATTGAAAGTACTGTGGACTGCTAAAAGGGCAAAATGATCTATCTTGGAAGAAGTATGGCCCTGTGCTCCTTAGAGGCAAGGATGCCAAGACTTCCTTATATAATTGGGAAATGTTGTAAAGACAGACTAGTTCCTAGAGGAGGACATTATGCTTGGTAGGATGGAGCAACGGCAAAAATGAAGAAGACCCTCAACTAGATCGGTTGACAGAGTGGCTGCAACAATGGGCTCAGGCACAGGAACAATTGGGAGGATGGCGCAGGCCCGGGCAGTGTTTAGTTCTGTGGAGCATAGGGTTGCTAGGGGCTGGAGCTAACTTCACGGCACCTAGCAACAACAACAGAAGCAAACCACATGCGTGAGCGTGCACACACACACACACACACACACACACACACACACACACATCTAGAGAATATAACGATCAAACCAATAATGGAAGGAAACGCACCCAATGTCAATAGTGGTCATATTGGATTGTATTTCGTGGGTAAGTTTAAATTCTTTTTTATTTTCTATTTTTTCAATTCCTTTCTCTGCTTTATTTAGTCTTTATTGTTTTTACCTTTTTCTCTTCTACATTCTGCTTGTGATCAAATATTAAAATGGTAATTTTAGCCATGAAGAGATATTGCAAGGCAGAATGTTTATGTTATTGGATAAATGAATAATGAGTATAGAGCAGGACAAGGCTGTTTAGCCCGGGGATAGTCAAGGAGTCTTTGGAGGAAATGTAGAAATGAGCAAAATTCTGAAGGACCGAGACAATGGAAAATGATTTTGTCTGGCTTTGTAAGTATCCTGTGGATCTGTAGTTCTTTTTCCTTTTGTTCATTCCTTATTGCTTAGGGCCTTCTATTTGTAAAATGAAATAAAGTGGATGATTAATTACCACTTAATACATGTTAATAACATACTAATAGTGCGTGATTACCATCGCACATTAACTAGTATTAGCATGCCAGCAGTATTGTGTTGTAATGAGCAGTGAGTAATGGCTATAATGACCAGGAGAAAGTGAGGGCACAGGCATCAACGGCACCCTCATGCTCAGGAACGCGAGTTCAACCAGAGGGGGGCCTCAGAGGAACGGGATCAGGCGAACATGCATAGTCAAGTGGTTCCATTTCTGAGAGTAGCCCAGTATAAAGTGAAGCAAAGGGCACAAGCTGCCATTTCTCCAAGTCAGATGGTCAAACGACAAGCCAAAAATGAAAAACTGGTCCGCATCATTAGTCATCAGGGAAACGCACATTTAAATGACCAAGAGACAACTCCTCAGATGCGGTAGTATGGCTAGAATCCCAAAGTTAGACAATACAATATCAGTGAGGATGTAGCAAAATCAGAAACCTCTGTCACTGTTGGTGGAAAATAAAGATGTGCAGCTATTTGGAAAATAGTCTGGCATTTCCTCAAACAATTAAAAGCAGAGTTATTGTATGTCCTAGCAGTTTTAGTCTTAGATATATATACCCATGAGAGAGCTACACAAAACCTTATATATAAATATTTATATTAGCATTGTTCAAAATTTGGAAACAATCTAAATGTCCATAAATGGATTAGTGGATAAATAAAATGTTGACTAACCATATGATGGAATATCATTCTGTCATAAAAAGGAATTAAGTACAAATGCATGCATGAGTCAGATGAACTTGAAAACATTTTGCTACGTGAAATAAGGTACTCACAAAATATCACATCTTATATGATATTATTTATATAAAAATGAATAATTGAGAATCCATAAAGAGAGAAATTATAGTGGCTGCTTACAATTAATTGGGAGGTGAGAGCAGGGACAAAGAGGATGGGATTTCTTTGTGAGGTGATAAAAATATTCTAAAATGGACTGGTGATGAGCATATATATGTGTAAGTATGTTCAGAAACATCTTATTTTACACTTTAAATGATTGCATTATATGATACATGAATTATACATCCATGAAGACATTTTTTTAAAGTCAGGAATGAGAAAGTCCGGTGCGTGTTGGGAGGCCTTGTAGACACACTAAGGTATCTGAACTTTATCTTCGATAACACGGACACTCGTGGTTTCTAAGCAGAGGAATGTAATGATTCACATCTGTGTTTTCGTGAGCCAACTGATTCCGCACTGTGCAATTCTTTGAAATGTAGTTCTGTGATCCAGTGCTTTCTTTCTTCTGTGAAGTGCAGCACTACTCTAAGTAGTTTTAAAAAAAAATAAATCTGAGTGTTATATATTGACAATGACATAATTTTTATTAACTTCTGAGATGCTATGTGGTAAACATATTTAAACTGATTATTTTATCACATGATTATTTTGTGATGAACTGTGGTAATGTTGAACATGGATTGCACAAGAAATCCTGTACGTTTCCTTGAGAACTTCTTGATCTACCACACTTGGTGCCCTTTTTGTTTTAATTCCTGAAGTCACACTTCTGTTATATTGTAGTAGGCTTTTTCTCTTTTTGTAATGATAAAAGCTCCACATTTACAGGAACACAATTGAGTAATTCAGAAGCTGTAACTTCAGCAGAAGAACCCTCCGTAAGAGAGAACATGATTCAAGGAAGCAGTATGTGAGAATGAATACACACTGTGGCCTGTTGTGAGTGCCATCAATCGATTCGGACCCATCGCGACCTGTACACAACACTGCATGGTCCTGCTCCATCCTCACAATTGTTCCTGTGCTTGAGCCCATTTTTGCAACCACAGTGTCAATCATTAAAGGGCTCCCTCTTTTTTGCCGCTCCTCCACTTTACCCAACCTGAAGTCCTTCTCAAGGAACTGGTCTCTCCTGACATGTCCAAGGTATATAAGCTGAACTCTTGCCATCCTTACCACTAGGGAGCACCGTGGCCAAACTTCTTGCAAGACACATTGGTTTGTCCTTTTTGCAGTTCATGGTGCTTTAAATGCTCTAGGGATTGGAACCTTCTTACAGAAGGAGAGCAGAACTTGAAATGTGGCCCATTCAGGCTTCTTAAAAACCCATGAAAGTTGGGTTTCCTTGAAATTTTCTCTGAAGATGCTTCCTTGGACACAGTTTATTGACAACTAATATTATTTTAGGATAAGTTTGTTTTATAGTGTAAATCCAGAGTTTTAAAATTTATTGACTGACCAATCCAAACAATACATAGCCACTGAAGCTCACATTTAATGCTGTTAGCCACTTGTGCACATTATTTTTAACACCCTATGTCTTAGGCCTTTAAGCATGAAAAGACAGAAGCATCATCAATTTTAAGTAGTAGGTACTCAGATGTGTGTTCTACTTGATTATTTTCTGTATTTAAAAAAAAACTCTTAAGATTTATATACAGGATAGAAGAAAAAATTAGGTAAAATATCGACCCAATCATTTAAGGGTGTTCTGATTACATTTTAGACAAAGATGTCATATTGGGTTAGAAATATGTGAGACTAAATTATACTGTAATGCATGTTGAGTGTTGTGAGTATGAAGTTATAACAATAACATAGATAAATGAGTTGGAAAGGCAGTGGGAAGATATTTGTCAGCTTTTAGGACCACTTAAATATGGCCAACAGTAGATGCAAGTTAATGAAATCTGTGGTACAAAGAGCATTAGGAGATCATTATATTTTAGATGATTAATTCTAAGATGCTGAAATCATTGATTTTGATCTTGATATATCCTCAACTATTTTCCATGACGGATCAGCTAGGTTGATCTCTGAGAGACTATATATGATTGGAATATAGATTATTATTTCCATGATGCTATTTTTTCCTTAAGTCTATTACCTGAGAACTGTAAGAAAAGGGAAGTTTGAAGAGTTATAAGAGAAGCTTTCTTTACTATGCTCGAATTGTCTAGTACTCCATTTAGTATTGTGGTTACTATTAGAGTGCAAGGTATTAATCCACATGGAATTATCTTTGAGTCTCAAAGAAGGGTCAAATAATACATTTGCAACCAAGCGACACAAGCTACTCCTCAACTTTGCCCTCACACAAACCCTGGGTCAGGTGTTCATTGTTCTTGCCCTTGGGGGATAGACGAATTCAGGTAGGTGGTGAGATCCCAGTCCCCTCTTCACAGAGCGCTTGAGACGCGTGCTAGAACCTTTCAGGTGCTGGTTAGCAATCGAGCTATGGTCTACAACATCCAGGAAGTTAGGAAGTGTTTGCACGAATTCCCAGGGGATTAAGAGATCACATGAAACTGTTCGAATGTCTGCTTGCAAGGCCTAGGCAGATTGAGAATTTTTTTGATAAATAGTGTAGTTCATTCTCAAGGTCTCTCATGAGATAACTTAAGACTTATATTGTGTCCTCCAATCTATCCTGACTAATACACACCCATGTGACAGAGTACAACGGTCCCCAAGGTATTTATCAGTTGTAAATTATAGGATCAGATCACCAGTTTTTCTCCCATAGAGCCACTGGGTAGGTTTGAATGCCTAACCTTTGGGTTGGAAACTAAGCACTTCACCTTTGAGCCACAGGGTACCTTACTTAAAACTTCAAGTTCACATTTTTTACTTAAGTTCAAATTTAAGAAGTTTGACCAATTTTAGGTCTTTTTTCCCTCTTACCCAGTGTCGTGTAATTGGTGATGTCGTTTAAGTCTGTGAATGGCCAACAGAAACGGAGTCATTTCTAACTCTGCTCTGAGTAAGTTTTGCTTTGTTGTCCCTTCAGTTGGTTGTGCTCAAGTGAGCGATATGGCGATACAGAAATGCGTCCCTCACCGAATGGAGAGGCGAAGGGATGGAGAAGGTCTCTCCTCCAAGGAGTGGAGAGGCTTGGCTTTCTACGGTCTGTGTGCCTCGCCCTCTCCCAGTCTTCTCCTTTCCCACTGTGATGTCGTACAGTGTTAATTTACGTCTGTCGTTTGCTACTTGGCATTTCTATCTGAAATTCGGACTACTTTCAGCTTTTGATATTTTTTCCTTTTATGTGAGATGTTTATAGATTTCTGCTGTTACCAGAATTATGTATAGATGATGCAGTCTATTAGGGACCCCAGGTGGCAGAGTGTTTATATGCTGGGCTGCAATCTGAAAGGTCAGCAGTTCAAAACCAACAGATTCTTCTCTGGAGAAAGATGGGGCTTTCTACTGCCATGAAGAGTTATGGTCTTGAAAACTCACAGAGCAATTCTAGCCTGGACTAGAGGGTTGCTATATGTAGACATGGACTCGATGGAAGTGAGTTTGGGGTCTTTGGAATGTAGTCTATTATTTTATACCTCTCACATGCATTCTAGAACCATATTTAAAAAGTAAAAATTTTGAGGACTGCATATTAGAAATAAATATATTTTGATTTTTAGTTTAGAGTTCCAGATTATTTTATAGAACTAAGAATTACTTTGATCTGTTTATGATATCAGTGACTTAATAACTCACTCACCCACTGCCATTGAGTCGATGCCAACTTACAGTGCCTCTGTAGGACAGGGTAGACTGCCCCTGTGGGTTTCTGAGACTGCAACTGTTTATGGGAGTAGAAAACTTCTCTTTCTCCTGGCGGAGTGGCTGGTGGTTTTGAACTGCCAACCTACCAGATCACAGCCCAAGGCATAACCAGGGCTCTATACCACCAGGGCTCTACTAAAGTAAGAACCCAGACTGTAATTTTCTTATTCTTTTAAAATTGCCTCATTTTTATTATTGTGGATGAAACTACACCTTGTAGTAATTTTATCTGTATATTGAAATATTTTTGCCTTTCAAACAAAATGAATTTACTTAGAAATTCTAAAAATAAATGTAGATGTTTATCAATATAACATTGTTTTATCATCACTGTGAAATGCAATTAAAATTATATTAAATAAAATATAATTTTCACAAATCATATAAAATACCATTTATCTATTTAAACAACAAATATGTACTCGTTGTAACACATAGCCATGATAAGAAACAGAAACCAAACAACAATAACACAAATCTCTATCATAAACTCAGTGCTTCTTTCTGTCGCCATGGTTGACGACTCAGAATGCCCACGGTTACTACCTCCCTTTAGACAACATCCACACCTCTCTAAAAGCAACTGCTATAAGCCAGGTGGTCCAGTAACCTTATAATAGTTCTACTTTGAGGGCTTAACTTTCCTGCATAGGAGAATTCAGTATCTTGAGGTAGTTACTAATTGACCATTTCTAAAGAAGTTATGCCTTTTTAGTTACGTTCCTCAAAGGAAAATCAAACACTACAGTTCGATTTTTGAAGTTTGCTAAAACCATTTTCTAAAAATATCTTATCAGTATCTGGGAACTTACCAGACTCAAGAGAAATGGTCTTCACGGTGAGCAGCTTCACACTCTCTTTATCAGACTGAGGTCTATTTGGGACCAAAAGCATTACGTCAGCACTAGAATACTGAGCACTGCACAGGAAAGCCAGTAGATGGGATGTAAACAGAAGGAGACAACATACATATACATTTTCACAATTTCTATTTCCTCACACAGAAAACCACATCTACTAATATCATCTGCCCACTTCTGGAATTGAGCTGAGAAGTCCCTGTCACTTGATGCTGCCGTGATGATTATAAACATTAATGAATCACATCAAACAATAGTTGAAAGTGCACACTGCCCAGGTCTCCAGCTCTAAAGCATGACAGGGAAGATGTGAAAGTCTTTCTGAATCTCTTAACACATGCTGGCTTTGGGGGATGGTCCTTCTCATGAGTTCCTGCTATCCTACAGGGCCCTCTGAGCTGCCTGCCCGTCTGTTCTAACTAGCAGCCCCTACCACCCTGGGTGATGCAGCGCTGCTGTAACAGAAACACCAGAGCTGGTTGATTCAGCCCCAGGTGTGTTTTCTCACAGTTCAGGCAGCTAGAATCCAAATTTAGGGTGCTGGCTTTAGGGGAAGACTTTCTCTTCTGGCTCTGGGGGAAGGTCCCTGTTCCTTGGGTCCTGGGTGATTTCCATGCGGTGTGGCATCTGTTGTCTGCCATGTGGGCTTGTTCTGTTGTCTGAATCTGCTCTTTCTATATCTCAAAGGTGAGCATCATAAAACATACCCTATACTCTTATTGCTTCTTAACAAGTACAAGATGCCCATATCCAAGTGTAATTATTGCAACAAGTAAAGGGACTAGGGTTGTCAGCACAGTTTTAGAGAACTCAATCAACCGTAACATTGTCCTTCCTTTCCATATTCTAGGCAGCTTTGGCCCCAATTATTTTCTTTGGACAGTTCAATGATCTCTTCTTTCTAAAACACAGCAGTAGGCACTCTAGGGATATTATTTCTAAAATCTACAACTTATTAGCATACCAGAACATCCATATAAGTTATGCTTGAAATTCAAGTCAATCAAGAAAATGTAACAACAGGATTTATCTCTTTTTTTTTAACATCAAAACAATGGGTCTTGTCGTCACACCTTGGTTATACTGTTTGGATTGCTAAACATTAATTTGTTTATTTCAAAAAAGTCAAACAAATGTTTAAGGCAAAGTTACTTAGAGCTGCACATCTAGGTAGAGGTATAATTTTCCCCTAAATGTGGTAGAAAGATTGAAAACTTCATTGGAATACTATTGTAAAACTCAACATATTTTTTCCTATGGTGCTTCCACTCATAATTATATTCACTCTTCTTTTTAAATTTTTGAAAAAATTACTGCCTTAGCCAAACTTAAAGTTTTTTCTTCTTCTTTTAGTTACTGGACTATATCTGTTGAATAGAGAGAGTTCTGAAAAATATTTTTCCCCAAACCCCATAAATAATGCTTTCTCTACAGATACCTATAGGAGGGGGGAAAAAAGCATAAGATCAATAATTGTCCTTCTGTGAAGGGTTCTGATGTTGGGTCAGGGTTTCGAGAAAATGGTGATGGTGACTGTACTTACTGGTCATTTCCGTTTTCCGGTGTACCTAGAAGAAGAAAGAGCTATTACAGGTAGAAGGTGCTTGGCCACAAACCCAAAACCAAAAACAAAGCCCCCCCGGCTCTTGTGTTTGCACAGAGACATTGTGTGGCTTAAAGTTCTGCACCCACATTTCTAAAACCAATGTAACCTTTTTCTTAATTTCATCATAGACCACTTCCTGAGGCATGCTTAATTCTGATCCTGACACTCATGGGATAGATGAAGAGGCAAACTTAGTTTGGAGCACATTTTGATCTTCTGATTTCTTTTTTTTTTTTTAATCAATTTATTGGGGCTCATACAATTCATCACAATACATAGATCAATTGTATAAAACACATCTATACATTTGTTGCCCTCATTATTCCCAAAATTCGCTTGCTTCTTGGGTTCCCGGAATCAGCTCATTTTCCTTTTTTCCCCCTCCCCTTCCCTTCCTCCTCTCCTCTCCCCCATGCACCCTTAATAATTTATAAATTATTATTGTATCTTATATTACACTGTCCAGCGTCTCCCTTCACCCACCCCTCTGCTGCCCGTCCCCCAGAGAGTAGGTTATATGTAGTTCCCTGTGATCCGTTCCCCCTTTCTTCACCCCCTTTCCCTCCTGGTATCGCCACTGTCGTCCCTGGTCCTGAGAGGTTCATCTGTCCTAGATTCCCTGCGTTTCTGATTCCCATCTGTCCCGCTGTGCATCATCTGGTCTAACCAGGTCTGCAAGGCAATATTGGGGTCCTGGTAGTTGGGGGGAGGAAGCGTTTAAGAACCAGAGGAAGGTTGTGGGTTTTATTATTGCTATACTGTACCCTAAGTGACTCATCTCCCCACTACCCCTCTGGAAGGTATGTCCAATTGTCTAGAGATGGGCATTGGGTCTCCATCATGCACCACCCTCATTGATGAGGATATGATTCCCCCTCCCCATCTCTGGTGTTTAGAGCCTGGTCCCTTTGGCCCTTCATGATCACACATGTTGGTGTGCTGCTTCCATGTGGGCTTTGTTGCTTCTGGGCTAGATGGCCGCTTGTTTACTTTCAAGCCTTTAAGTCCCCAGACGCTATAGGTCTCCATAGCCGGGCACCATCAGCCTTCTTCACCACACTTACTTATGCACACATTCATCTTCAGCATTTATCTACCACTGTGTATCCCACAGGCACCAGAACATGTCTCACTTTCTGTCGCTCAGAAAATTTACCTCAAAAGAGGGAATGATATTTTTTTATCCGTTAAGTGGATTTATTATTTTCTTTTATACGTTGCTCTGTCTTAGCATACACCTTTGTGGTAAGCCATCATCTAGATATTGCTTCTAATCACATCTTAATAAGCCTACTGACTCAGTCTCTCAAAAAGTGTCCTGCAAAATGTCACGGAGGCTACTCACTGCAGCTAATGCCTTTGCTGTTTTGCCAGGTTGCTTCGCAGTGTCTGAGAGCAAATAACTTGAGAGAGAAGTATAGAAGGATTCATCAGCACCAGGGCATGGACTTCTGGCTGTGGGTGTTAGTGGTCACACCTTGCATTACTGTGTGTGTGTGTGTGTGTGTGTGTGTGTGTGTGTGTGTGTGTGAGAGAGAGAGAGAGAGAGACAGAGACAGAGAGACAGAGAGAGAGACTTAGTTTGTCATTATTCTGAGTCACAGGTCCTTTTGTTATCACACTAATTAGAGAAATATAAATAAGTGCAAGGAATGAAGTGTCAATTGGGAATGCTCAATTCCCAAATGAATCTCAGGAAGCTTCCTTTTTTCTTTTTTTTTTTAACAATACCTCTGTCCTCCTCTTCTTACTCTAGTTTATTCAGTGGATAATGAATAAGGGAGAATGGAGAAGAATTGCCACGTTTGAATCATGGCTTTGCTGCACAATATTGAAAGTACCCTGGGTTTCTAAAAGGACCGACAAATCCGTCCTGGAAAAGTAAAGTCAGAAACCTGCTTACACGTGAGGTTTGCATGACTTTGCGTCAAGCCTAGGTCGAGTTACTACGAGAGATCAGTTTCTGGAAAAGGACCTCAGGCTCGGCAAAGTAGACGGTCAGGGAAAAGGAGGAAAACACTGCCTGAGATGTGTCGGCAGAGTAGATCCAACAAGTGCGAAGTGGAGAAGGAAGGGGCAGTGTTGCCCTCTGTGGTCCACAGGCTGCTATGAGGTGGCACCAACTAACAGCAACTAAGCACAACCAACAGTCCAGTCAAGTCGAATGAGCACTGGCGGCTCAGTGGGGAATGCGCTCGGCTGCTCACCAAAACCTAGGGGACGCAAACCTCCCAGGTGCTCCGAGGGAGAAAGAAAGACATGGCTGTCAGTTTCCATGAAGATCTGCAGCCCTGAGAACCCCATGGACAGTTCTACTCAGACTCTGCCATATGTAGTTTTCATGATTTTGAAACCACTTGATGGCAGTGGAATTTTGGTTTATTTTATGTAGCTTAATTTGGTCTCTCCCCAATGCAAGTCTTTGCTCTCCATTATTGGTTTGATCAACAGTTTGTCCAATGGCAATAAATTAAAACCTTAAAGAGCAATAAAGTTAACACAACAGTAAACCAGTAAATTGCAAAGACTAGCCTCTAGAAAACTTTATTTAAATATATCAAATTGCTTATCTTTGATTAGTTTAGCAAAATAGTAACATATACAATATTCCTTTTTCATATGAAAAGTACTCGTGTGATTTGGCCACAAAGTCAAATAGAACAACAACAAAAATCGCTAAATGGTATGTTCTTTGAATTTAATTTATCTGCTTTGAGCATACTTACTCAATAAAAGTTTTATTTGGCTACTTATTTCTGTGACACCATGGCTAAAACACTCCAGTATAACTCTAAATTAAAAATCACACCAAGTTCACGGCAATGCCACAGGTCCGAGTAGAACGCCCTTGTGGGTTTGGGGACTGGAACTCTTTCATGGGAGTAGAAAGCCTCATCTTTCTCCTTCGGAGCAACTAACTGATGGTCTTGAACTGCAAACCGGGGGCTTGCAGCTCGACCTGTCACCACTGTGCCACCAGGGTTCTTCTTAATTGCTAGGATTTAATCCATGGTGTCAAATCCTGGCCATCCCTGCTGTCAAGAGGGCTTTGTGCTTGTTTCTGTTTTTGAAAGGATAGTTTCCGTGCAAGTTTACACAGCAAATTAGGTTCTCACTTAACATTTTTTATACAAATTGCTCCGTGACATTAATTACACAATGTGTCAACATTCTCTATTTGGCTTAGTATTTGGCCTCTATGGAATTCTGACTTTGTTCTGTTCTTTTCACCCATTGTATCTGGAACCGCCTATGTGTCCCTGGTCAGAACTGCCAGCAGTCGCAGTCAGCGTGCATCACAGAGCCCTTTCCTGGGGTTACAGGAGGTCGCTGGTCTGGACACAGTTCGCCTTTTGGACTAATTTCTTCTTGGTGCTTTTGATTTCCTTCAGTCTCTTTTGCTCCAGAGGAGGCAAGACCAAGACCTGATCACAGAGGGCCGTTTAGGCCTTTAAAACCCTAGATGCAAAAAAAACAAAAACAAAAAAAACCCTAGATGCAAATCACTAAACCAGGACGTAGAACAATATCTTTATAGACTATGTATATTATGCTAACAGATTAAATTGTCCCTCCAAACCATGGTCCTGAGCATTTTAATCAGTAAACCAATAATCACCTGCTTTGTTATGTGTTTCATTAGAACTGAATGGGATTTTCATGGAAAATTGTGGAACTAAGTTCATGGAAAATTCCATTATCTTTTAGTTCCATTTTTCCACTAAAGTTTGGAATCACTCTTGTATGGCACCCACCCCTCCCCGCCCGGGTTCGGTGTCAGCATCCTGTTGGCGTCATAGAATGAATCTGCATTCTCCTTTCTTTTACACGATCTGAATGTTTGGTAGAATTCCCCAGTGAAGCTGCCGGGCTGCCAGGCAGGTGCTTTACTTTGTTGAGGGTCTTTTTTTTTTTTTTTTTAGGTAAATTGATTTTCTTAACAAGGAGGGAAGGAAGCTACTGCTTACTAAATATCATTTGTGTGTCAGATGTTGTGCTAGGTGCTTTCCCATTGATGATCCCATTTCTTTATGAAATCCTCTGGGAGGAGCTTATTACTTGTATTTTACAGATGACAAAGCTTCACCCAGAATCAGATGGGTTTGTTTTGGGTCCTTTTTTCCGTGACCCAGAATAACCCCGAACACCCAACCCTTTCCTTCTCAGACGCCTGCCCTCCAACGATACTGTCACCGGGGCATTGAGGAAACCATGTTCTTTTCGTTTTTAATACATCACTTTATTGGGGGCTCTTACAGCTCTTATAACAATCCATACATCAATTGTATCCAACACATTGGTACATACGTTGCCATCACCATTTGATGAAAATGATGTGGAGAGTTTTTAATGACACCTTCGGTGTCTCCTTTGGTTACGAGTCATTCAGGTTTTAAGCCTCTATTTGTGTTAGTGAGGAGAGTAGTACATGTCCAGAAATGTTTCCATTGGTCCGCACAGCATCTCCATCTTCTCCTCGGGCGTCATTCTATGCTCCTGACCCCGGCGCTTCAGTTGCTTTGTCTCAAGGCAGCCATGTGGAAGCCGGCCGGCTGGCCTAACACCTAGCATTTGTAAATCTCCTCATCCTCTGCTTTCACCAAGTTGTTTTCTTTTATTCAGTGTTCCAATACTTTGTCCTTCAAAGTACTTCGGGGGCCTTGCTGCTTTGTTTCCAGATTGTCCGTCAGAGCCGTTCACTTGGTTTCTTGGGCCTCTGCTGTGGGTCGATGGCTTGGCACGTGCGACTAAGCTGCCATCTTGTGCCCCGGCCTCAACGGAGATTTAACACATTTGGGGGGATATTTGTACAATGTGTTATGTATGCTGTCTTCTGTAATGATTATATTCCCATTGCCAAATGAACTTTTAAAATGTTTTTTTTTTTCTTCATATTTTTCCTTTCAGTACTTTATTGCTGGATACAATAATGGATGCCAATCGATTTCTGCCTTTATACCCTTCTTCTTGGGATTAACATTGAGACCACTGTCAACAAGATCCAGACAAGTTTACTTTCATATTGGACTCTTTTGTGGTCTTTCAGAGAGCAGAGTGTATTTGCTCATTTTCTGAACTTAATGAAGTCTCACCTACATGAAGAGTGATCAACCACGGGTGTTTAATGGTGCTAATTTAATGATAGCAATGCTGCAGATTCTGTTTGTAAAACAAAGCTAAAATAACCAGAAAGATTTGCTTAATTGTACAAACTACAAAGTACCTTATATCTTCATGAGAACTATCCATTGCTGTAGAAATGTTACCCATTATTTTCTAACTGACCTAATTCATCCATCGGCCTGGATAGACTACGTCGTTTTCAAATAACCTATTTCCAAATATCCAAATGCATAGCAATTTTTTAGAAAAAGATAATTCTATAAGTGACCCTGGGATGCAGGGTTTTATTTATTTGTACTATGTGTATTCCACACTCACCGTGTTTAACTTGGATGACTGATTTTCCATCAGGAAAATTGGTGGTTTAGAAATGTAGAGAAATTAAACTGAGTTTTAAAATTGCAATCTCCCCACTGGAAACTGTCTAAGGAAACATCTTTCAGATATTACCATGAAGTTTATTCATTGGCTTGCAAAGGAAAATGCGTTGGTTTTTCTCTATTTTCTTCTCACTGCCATTAAGTCAATGCTGACTCATAGAGACACCTGTGGGTTTCCAAAACTGTAACCATTTATAGGAGTAGAAAGTCCAGTCTTTCTCCTGCGGAGCTGCTGCTGGTTTCGAACTGCCAACCATGGGGATCGCAGGCCAATGCATAACCAGTGAACATTGTTTTTCCTTTGCAGATTTCCCTTGTACTGTCATGATTATGTGCCAAGTTGTTCATGTGGCATGCTCCTGCTGATTGACCTCAGGAACAGCATGATGTGCTAGTGTTCAGGGCACGCTGTCCATGGTGTAAATTAAAAAATGGTGTGGCTTAAATGTCTTCAAAAAGGAATTGTTCTTCACTTTGTAGCAGCTTTCAAAACTTTGTAGAGATTAGTTGATGAAATATTTTGAATTCAAATGTAAGAGAGGTTTTCATTTTATTAAAAATTTGAAATTTAACTCAGCAAACATGTTTTAAAGTTTGCTTTGTATTAGCTGAGGAGCTTGGGTGGCAAAGTGATTAAAATACTAGGCTTGTAAACAAAAGGTCCGTGGTCTAAATACACCATGGCACTCCATGGGAGAAAGCAGTTGGTTTCCCTAAAGATTCATGGCATTGGAAACCTTATGGGGCAGTGCAATTCTGTCTTATAGGGTGACTATGAGTCAAAGGGACTGAGTTATGTATTGCTCAACACAATGTGACCAATTTTCGGTTTGTGACTTGCAGGGTTCGCTAGACTTTAGGGTGGGTAGACACATAAACAAATAGCTAAAACACGGTACAACCAGTTGTCGTCAAGTGGACTTTTGCTCATAGCTTCCTCATATGGGGGTGCAAATGCCCAACTGAAAGACAGACCATTGGAGTCAACCCTGCGGCACCTCAACAGAAATGCTATTGATGTACTATTGAACAAGCAGGCCCTGAAAAGTCTATGGAGAACATTTCTACTCAGACACTCCTGGGATCGCCAGGTGTTGGAATCACAGCAAAAGCAACTGGAAGAAAAAAACCGACAAAATTCTCTGCATAATCTCCCTTAATTCTCTATTCAAGGAGGATGAAACCAATTTTAACTATAAACAAAATCTTCCTTTTACTCTCTTTTATACCAAATTATTCTCGCCATTTGTCTAACTGGGGCAAATTCATTAGGAAGAATTTACCCATATTTGATAATACCCATCAATGGTTGCTAATTCCAACTGCTAGCACTCAATTTTCTCCCTCTTCTCTCTCATTTCTGTTTTCAAGGAATATGGCAATTTATTTCTTCCCATAGCTCTCATCTTCTCGTACAAGCTTAAATTTAAGTGTCAACAGGACATGTATGCTTATTTATAAAACAAAACAGAACCACTGTTACCTACCTGGGTCCGTCTTCCGGCATATTCGGTATAAACCCACCAGAGCAAATACTGAAAGTGTTATTACAATCAGAGCAATCACCACGGGCAAAATAACACCTAAAAAATGATGGAGACATTGTCAACTGAAGCAGCTGCTGATAAGCAAATGGATGCATTTTTATCATTATCAATCTATATTTATCAATATCAATCTTTAAATGTCAATCTATTAAGAATATTTGATTGGTTCATGGGTTTGTTCTAGTTGTCATTTCTGACCTATCCACTTGATGTCAGTCTTGTAGTCTTTCTGAACCAAAATCCAACCTAACGGACCCCACTCTCCCTTCTTCTTGGTGACTGGAAGGAAGAGGAGGTGGAGGACCCGAGATGTCCTCTAACTCCACAGTTAACTCTACTGATTTACCATTGCCTTAGGCTTTTGTAATAAAGTTACTGTATTGTGAATCCACTAGCCAGAATGCCAGCTTTCTAAAACAATTCAGAAACATTTCCCCACAACACTATCTTAAAACTTAAAATGGAACAAAGTTTAAGTGGCTATAAGTGGGTATGACAATGGATTTTGTTTCAAAAGTAAACACCGTGACTTAAGATATATATATATATATACATACATATCTGTGCACACATGTGTGTTTGCGAGCCTGTGTGGGCTTGGGACAGTTGAGTATTCCTGCAAGAAGTTCTGTTTGGGGTAGTCAAATATTCCTGCAATAAGTTATGAAGAATATTTTCTTTTTTTTTT